ACAAGCAGGCTCAACAGGCATTGCTTAACGAGAACCATAAAATATTCCCAAAGCCAACAACCTGCCCACTTCACCTCCTCCCTGGATGATCCTTCCAAGCTCAGCCATATTTATCAAAAGCCACATTTTTCACATTTCATGTCAGCATACCAAACAGAACAGAAATAGTGTTTTCTTCTGTATGCAAAACCAAAATTAAATATTACTTTTGATTTTCCCATTTCTGTCATACAGCTCAAACATTATGGGGAAAGTATATTTCTAATTATGATGGAATTTCAGCCCACCTTAGACTTACAACTGATCAAAATATTATACAAATATTATTCCAGGGGTCACTGAGGCACTTACCATCAAGAGAAGAAATGGGCAAATTATATACTATAAACTTGAAACCTGACTTTATGTCTCTTATGTTTTTACGAGTGAGCATTTCCTTTGTTTCTAAATATATCTTTTGCTATTATTTGAACGTTCTAAGTTGGAATCACAGTCTGAATTTTCTAGACGCATTAGCCTCAGGTAGACCTCATGAAGTGCTGCAGGGATGAACCATGTTAAAAATGGCCAGCATTTCAAAATTCACTAACTAAATAGTAAAGTATTAACCAAGAAAAGCCTCATCAGGGTCAAAGGCAAAGAATGGACTTGGCTCCTGCCCTATGCTCGGAGAAATGATGGCTTATTTATAGCCCCACAAGCAAGTAACTGCAGGAGGCCTGGAGCCAAAAGAGTGATGCATCAAAACATGGCTGGGGGGGGGGGGGGGGGCAGGGGTTAGAAATGGGGAGAGGCGAAACACAACTCACTCCCAACCCTGCACCGCCTTGCAGGCCGGAGCTGCTCTGCTTTCCCATGAGGGGAAATATCACTTATTTGGTGTACTTGCCCCCAAAACAGAAGCACATATTTGGCTTCTGAATAGCAACTTTCTTTCACCTGCCCAAAGAAACTATTTAATCCAACAGCTCCATTAGGCAGGGGGCTCAGAAAACCAAATTCTATAAAAACTACTGATTTATTATTGTTGATTTACTAGTGCCAGGACACTGAAAACTGTGAGATTCGCACTAGCGCTGTAAACAGCCACCTCACTTTAAGTTTCTATGGTCCCTCCCCCACCACCCTCCACCTGCCCCCGAGTCATCCTCTCATTTTAAAAAGAGCCCCTTGGAGAAGGAAATGGCAACCCACTCCAGTATTCTTGCCTGGAAAAGTCCATGGACAGAGGAGCCTGGCGGGCTGCAGTCCATGGGGTTACATGACTGAGCATGTGTGCATGATGGTGGAGGGAGATGGGTTGGTAGCAATAAACTGGTAGAACTAAAAAAAAATAAAAATAAAATAAAAAGAGCCTCTGACTCGCATGTCTTGCCCACAGCCCAAAACTCTTAGAAGCAACAAAACACAGGGGTAAGAAAAAAAAATTTTTTTAATTAAAAAAAATTTTAAAAACAAAACACAGGTGTGCAGCACCGTCTTCCCCACGCCCCTTTCTATGGCTTGTCTTCTCTGGGAAAACTGATTATCAAAACACAGAAAGCAAAGGTGCATACTCTCAGCAGCAAATATGTACACTCACTAACGCCTCACTCGTCCTCCCAGGACACTAACAAGTGTCAGGGTTGGACCTGGGGCTTCAGAGCCAGGAACTCCGGTAGGCTGCGACCACCTACCTCCTGCTCATCAAGGCTGGGACCGCTTCGATTTTTGCCTCTGTGTACATGACTTTGACCTTATCTCCCACCACAACCAAGTGTCTAGTTCAGGATGGAAGACGTTTAGGTACTCAGAGAAATGAGACTTGTCTCACACACGACTGTTCTTATACATATTCCAGTCGTGATTAGACTAACCCTATGGGATGCCTATGAATGCCACATAGGACTGCCAACCATCCAATGTTGGACCCAGATGAACTGGAAGTTGAAGTTACCAGAACAAACAAATGAAACTGAAGACCTGAATGTTGACAACCTCCATAACCTCGGGATGAAAATGATTACTTAAACCGAAAGCTACCAGTGCATAACTTTGATTAATGCTGTAACTTTTGCAAAAGTGACTGTAAATGAAGTTTGAAAGTAAAGGACTACTGACTATCAGAAAATGTTTTATATATATTAAATAGAAATCGACCCAGATTAAATTAAATAAAACCTGCAAATCAATAATAATAATAATAAAAATAACAATGGGGGAAAGGGGCAAAGATTAAGGATACACGAATAAGAGAAACCAAAAAGTGCCAATAATTCTATTTTTTTTAATGTGCATCTTCATGAGTTATCAGCCATCTGCAAATTAAATGAGATGCTGTTTCTCACCCAGATTGGCACAGATTTTTAAAAACAAATGGTTCAAACCAGAAAGAATTTAGGGGACACTGGATTAAACAAGATAATGAACCCAGACCACAAAGGCAGCTCTGTGAGGAGCACAGAGCACTCCTGTTACCTTCAGTGTCTTGCCTGTGCACGGCTCGTGACAGGTGTGCAAAGAGGAAAACACACCTGTTAATATCTGGAGCGAAAAATCACCCCCACCAACCCTCCACAAGGTAACTGGCCAGTTTCTAGCAAAACTACAAAACTCATAGCCCACTACTCCAGCGACACCAGTTCTGGATATATTCCTCAGAGAAATTATCAAATTTAACTGCATCCACAGAAACATATGAGATTGTTCACTAGCACACTGTGTGCAATGAGAAAAACAAAAATGAGCAAAGGACCACACATTGCCTCTCCAAATTATGAACCACCACACAGTGCTCAAGAAGACGGAACCAGATTTAAATGTGTTAACATGGACAGAATTTAAAAACACAAGTTGGCAGATACATAATACTCACGGTTGATATATTTCTGAAAAACTAACGGACTATAAGACAATGTCGGGGGGTGTTAACAGGTATATATATACACAAGAAAACTCAACCCACAAGCAAGGCTGCTTCTTGGGAGTGGGAAAGACAGGGCTGACCTGGAGGGATTTGACAGCTGACTAGAAGGCTTTCTTTTTAAAAAAAAAAAAAGGATAAAAATCTAAAGCAAATATGATAGAAGACTTAACTGTTATTTACTGGGGATGACTAAGAAGGCGTCTGCTTTACCATGTGTTGTCTTTCATTTTTTTAATTTCTCAAAGTGAAAATTCTCCCGGCTGCCAGGCCACCTTGGTGAAGAGGCAGCCTTGACCCAGCTGTCACGGTGTCTGCTGTCCCCAGAGAGCTGCGCTGAGAGGCGCAAAAGCAGGAAAGGAAGGGATAAAGCGTCATCCTCCACCTGCCCCTACGTCCTTCTACATCTTCAGGAGGACTTTTCACATTTCCACTGGAAGTTGTAAGAACCTGTCCTGAGCTGTACCTCTGGTTAATTTTACTCTGTGGCACACCTCTGAGCTTTCTGGTCACACGGAATTCTTGTTACCCTCTGTTCCTACATATCTTACAGTTTCCCCAGAGACGACCCCTTAGAGACCACCACACAGGTTTGGCTGACTGATGGAGAAACTGCAATGCTCAAAGCAACATCTGTGACAAATCTGTGACTCACAAGGGTACAAAATGCAAAACAAAGCAAATGAAAAGGTGGAACTCTCTTTGCATCTGAAAGAGGTGAAATTAAAATAGCCATGAAGCATCATCACCAGTTAGGGTGTGAGGGCTTCATCTGTATCATCTCATTTAACCCTCAAAGTCACCCTACGGGGGCAGCACTTCCCAGTAACACTTGGGTCAGGGAAGCAGCATGTCCAGGAACTCAGAGCAGACAAACAGAGCCTAGCCACTGACGACCAATCCTGAGGGTTGACCACTAAGCTTTATGGTATAAAGATGATGAACTGACTGACCCCCCTCTGGAGAGGATTCGGGAAAATAAGCCTTCTCGTGAAGTCTTCCTGGGGATGTAAATACCAACAGCTGGGCAATGAGTACGTAAGGTGTTATCAACATGCACAGCCTCCCTGCTGCCCACAGCCCCACTTTAGAAAGCTACACCCCAAGAAGATAGTCTCAGAAGTTCTAAAAGGTACACGTAAGTCCCACGAATTCCTATAAAATGCAAAGGCAGTCTCGATGGCACAAGGAAAAACTGCAAGCTTAAAAGTCTTAACAGTAAAGGACTAGCCTGTGGCATACACAGGCAGTGGAACACTATGAAGCTTTTTTATACTGAACCCTCTATGAGATCATAAATGATACGGTGGTCCCGTTAACGGAGAAATGTGTCCATGACTCCACATGTGCATACGGAGAGACAGTTTCCAAAATTTTAAGAGTGGTTTATCTTTGATAGCAGGGACCTCTGACGATTTTTTACTTTCTTCCCTTTGTTGTCCTTCATTGTTTGATTTTTCTTCTTACCTATCCTTTTTAATGAAACTCTAGAGTTTAATGAACAGCAGAGATCTGTCAACGTTCAAATGAATACAGAGCCTTGAACTCCGGGTTAAGTAAAGCTGTTTTCAGGGGATTTGTTACAAAACTATTCACCACCCTCACTTCGGACATCAGCATCCCTGAGCGGGGCATACGCTCCAGCAATGTCTGCCTCACAACCCACCGCTTCACAGACCAGGTCCTCGCCTTAGAGACCGTCCAAACCCTGGGGTTCCTCTAACTATTCAAGTTCACCCTCATCGATCTCGTCAGCTCCGCCCCAAGGACTGGGGACCGAGAAGGGTGTCACGGACGTCAGCTAGCTCCCCGGCCTAAACCCAGCCCCAGCTCGCGTCACTGCCCTCGGTCCTGGCCCCCGTAGCTGAGGGACCCCCCTCATCCCTCTCTGAGCACCCTATGAATTCCGCCGCGTCCAGAACCCATCCCCCAGATCTGTGGCAGTGGCCCCCGGGGTCACAGCAGCCCCCGGTGGCTGAGACCTTGCCCCCTGGATCCCTGTTCGGTGGCAGCTGCCCTTCCGCAGCCCGTGGGGACCCCACCCCAGCCCCTCCCAGCCAGGTCCCCTGGGGCCCAGGCCCCGCCCCGGCGCACTCACCCTCCCGGCAGCGCCGCCTCCAGATGGTGTCAGTGTGCAGGATGCGTCGGAACTTGGTGCAGACCTGGGCCAGGCTGGGCAGGTCGGTGCCGGGCAGCGACGCGAAGATCTCCACCAGCAGCTCGGGCGGCAGTTCCAGAAGCGAGCATCGCGGGGGCGACGAGGGGCCCGCGCTCCGGCCGCCCCCGGCCCCGGACAGCGCCGCCGCCCCCGCCTCGATGCGCTCCTCCTCGGGGTCCGTGTCCGGTTCGCTGTCGGCCGCCGCGGTCTCGGCCGGGCCCCGGCGCTGCTGGCGGCGCCGGCATCCCCGCGACGGGCCCACGCCGCAGAGGCGAGCGCACACCGCCATGCCGGCGACTGACGGCCGCCGCGCCGCCGCCGCCCGTGCGCACGCGCCGCCCTAGGGCCGAGCCCCGCCCGCCCCGCCGTAGAGCCCGGCCCCGGCACGCCACGCCCAGCCCCTCCAGGGAGCCTTATCCCCGCCCCCAGGAGCGCGGAGTCCCGCCCCCCGGGGGAGCCGAGCTTCGCCCCTGGGAGAGCCCTGCCTCGCCACGCCCCGTCAGAGAGCCAAGCCCCGCCCCCAGGGGACCAAGGCACGCCCCTGGGATTCCAGGCCCCGCCCCACCCGACAGCCAAGCCACACCTCTAGTGCATTGCCGACATCCCCATCTGGAGCTTGGCCCCACCCACCAGGAGGGACCCGAAAAGTCTTCGGATGGCATAGCCGGAAAGTCCCCTGCCTCGACCGCCCTTCGGGGTTCATTAGGCCCCTCTCCTCGCAGCCCCATCGGTCCCAGGCGGCCCCGGCCTCCGCTTACCTGAGGACTGCGGACCTCCCGTCGCGTGCCCGGACAGAGCACGGGAAAGGAATGTCACCGACAAACGTGCGACGGCCGCCCCTTCCCAACTGAGTGCACACGGCGGGTAGGCAGTAGATGGCGTGCTGCCGGTTGTGAGGGCCTAACCCACCACCTCCTGAGTAGGGGACTGACGAGCTCTCCCAGAGGTCAGCCTGAAGACCCTACGAGGGACCTCCCCCGCCCCCGGAAAATGCCTCAAGAAGGCCCGAAGGCCCCCTCCAGAGCTCCCCCCAAGGATCCCCAAAGAACCCCCTGGGAAGGCTGAGGACCCCCAGGGAAATCGGAGGACACCTTCTCTCGAGGACCCTCCGGGAAGGCCTCAAAGAACCCCCTGAGGATCCCCAAAGAATCATCCAGGGAAGCCCAGAGGACATCTCCCCAGGATCGTCCCAGGAGGGCCCCCAAAGAGACCCCTGGGAATTCCAAGAACTCTCCAGAAAGACCCTGAGGACCCTCTGGAGAATCCCCCATAAAGGCCTGGAAGACAGTCCTCCTACAACCCCCATAAAGGCTCAGAGGATACCAGCCCCAGACCCTCCAGGAAGGCCGGAAGGAGCCCTCCTAGAACCCCCAGGACCTCTAAAACCCCCCAAGCACCCTTCCATGAAGAACCCCCCAGGGTAGCCTAGAGGACACTCTTCTGAGAACCTCCCAGGAAGGCCTGGAAGAACTCCCCAGAGGACCCCAAGAACCCCAACAAAAGGTTCAAAAGAGCCCCAGTGTACACCTCAAGGAACCCCCCTCAGAGAACAATCCAGGATGCGCACAAGGACACCCCCACCACACCTCCCCATGACCCAGAAGGGTCATATAAGATGTGATTAGGGGAACAGCACAAACTTACGGCACCTGGAACTACTTAAGCCAAGTCGGACCCTAAATTGGCTTTCTTTTATCTAAAAACTGACATTCACTTATTTCTACCCTGATTGCAATGAAAAGGGGAAATCACACTAGGTGTGTCGTCTATATGATCTTCAGTTCAGTTGCTCAGTTGTGTCCAACTCTTTGCTACCACATGGAATGCAGCACACCAGGCCTCCCTGTCCATCACCAAATCCTGGAGTTTACTCAAACTCACGTCCATCCAGTCGGTGATGCCATCCAACCATCTCATCCTGTCACCCCCTTCTGCCGCCTTCGATCTTTCCCAGCATTAGGGTCTTTTCCAGTGAGTCAGTTCTTCACATCAGGTAGCCGAAGAATTGGAGTTTCATCTTCAGCATCAGTCCTTCCAGGATTGATTTTCTTTGGGATGGACTGGTTGGATATCCTTGCAATCCAAGGGACTCTAAAGAGTCTTTTCTGACACCACAGATCAAAAGCATCAATTCTACAGTGCTTAGCTTTCTTTACAGTCCAACTCTCACATCCATACATGACTACTGTAAAAACCATAGCTTTGACTAGATGGACTTTGTTGGCAAAGTAATGTCTCTGCTTTTTAATATGCTGTCTAGGTTGGTCATAGCCTTTCTTCCAAAGAGCAAGTGTCTTTTAATTTCATAGCTGCAGTCACCATCTGCAGTGATTTTGGAGCCCCAAAAATGAGGTCTGTCACTGTTTCCACTGTTTCCCCATCTACTTGCCATGAAGTGATGGGACTGGATGCTATGATCTTGGTTTTCTGAATGTTGAGTTTTAAGCCAACTTTTTTACTCTCCTCTTTCACCTCCATCAAGAGGCTCTTTAGTTCTTCTTCACTTTCTGCCATAAGTGTGGTGTCATCTGCATATCTGAGGTTATTGATATTTCTCCCAGCAATCTTGATTCCAGCTTGTGCTTCCTCCAGCCCAGCGTTTCTCATGATGTACTCTGCATATAAGTTAAATAAGCAGTGTGACAATATACAGCCTTGACGTACTCCTTTTTCTATTTGGAACCAGTCTGTTCCATGTCCAGTTCTAAGTGTTGCTTCCTGACCTGCATACAGATTTTTCAAGAGGCAGGTCAGGTGGTCTGGTATTCACATCTCTTGAAGAATTTCCCACAGTTTATTGTGATCCACACAGTCAAAGGCTTTGGCATAGTCAATAAAGCAGAAATAGCTGTTTTTCTGGAACTCTCTCGTTTTTCTGATGATCCAATGGATGTTGGCAATTTGATCTGTGGTTCCTCTGCCTTTTTTAAATCCAGCTTGAACATCTGAAAGTTCACGGTTCACATACTGCTGAAGCCTGGCTTGGAGAATTTTGAGAATTACTTTGCTAGCGTGTGAGATGAATGCAATTGCGTGGTATTTGAGCATTCTTTGGCATTGCCTTTCTTTGGGATTGGAATGAAGACTGACCTTTTCCAGTCCTGTGGCCACTGCTGAGTTTTCCAAATTTGCTGGCATATTGAGTGCAGCACTTTCACAGTGTAATCTTTTAGGATTTTAAATAGCTCACCTGGAATTCCGTCACCTCCACTAGCTTTGTTTGTAGTGATGCTTCCTAAGGCCCACTTGACTTCGCATCCCAGGATGTCTGGCTCTAGGTGAATGATCACACCATCATGGTTATCTGGATTGTGAAGGTCTTTTTTGTATAGTTCTTCTGTGTATTCTTGTCACTTCTTAATATCTTCTGCTTCTGTTAGGTCCATACCATTTCTGTCCTTTATTGTGCCCATCTTTGCATGACAAATTCCCTTGGTATCTCTAATTTTCTTGAAGACATCTCTAGTCTTTTCCACTCTATTGTTTTCCTCTATTTCTTTGCATTGATCACTGAGGAAGGCTTGCTTATCTCTCCTTGATATTCTTTGAAACTCTGCGTTCAAATGGGTATATCTTTCCTTTTCTCCTTTGCTTTTCGCTTCTCTTCTATTCACAGCTATTTGTAAGGCCTCCTCAGACAACCATTTTGCCTTTTTACATTTCTTTTTCTTGATCACTGCCTCCTGTACAATGTCATGAACCTCTGTCCATAGTTCTTCAGGCACTCTGTCTATCAGATCTATATGATCTTGCTGTGCCCTAATTACCTTGTTTACTGTGCTCAAGGGTAATATGGGTTCTAGAGGGGAAGCCAGCTGGGGCGTGGGGCAGGGGTGAAAGACACGAAGCCTTCCTGTGACAGTGGCTTCCCCTTAAGCAGCACTAATAACAAGAAACCATCATTTCCAGAGAGGAGGATGCTATTATGAGATTATGGGAGCAGACTTCTGCCTGGGTGGGCCCAACTCCTTTCTGGTCCAGACTGACCACTGGTCCTGAAGTGCTGGAGCAACTGCCCAGAGCCCATATGGAAGCTAAGAATCCACAGACCACCCCAGTGTTTCTGGTCAGTGTTGCTGTTTCTACTCAGATTAAAAAATAATGACCCTACCAGTTCCCTGGGCCCAGCCTCCACAAGGTCCTGGCTCTTCACTACCTCCCTAAGGAGGTCTCCAAGAGGAAAAGACGGCTGCCTACCTCAGTCCACAGAATCCCATAAACAGGGAAGTGCATCTTTTGACAAAAGCAACAATGCTGGACTTCAAACCTTGACCATCTCAGCTCAGGGCAATTGAAAAACAACTTGTGACTGCCTTCCCTGTATCTGGGTGTTTTTTAGAACTGTCCTCCAGCCTGCTACCAGGACTCTCTTCCTGCAAATGGTAACATAGAAACAAGAGTCATGCTTCACTCACCTATTTAATATTAGTATCTAATGGTCACGTCACACAGAGTACTTCACAATCCAGGCCTAACCTCCAGGTCTGGCAGCATCTCCTATCTCCAAACATCTCTCAGTGGGAGCCACCCAGTTCCTTAGTGGGAACGCACCATGCCTTGCCACATCCCTGCCCTTGTTCAAGCTGTCTCCTCTGCCAGGAAAACCCTCTTCCCAGTCTGTGCCAGTACACCTTGTTCTCAAATGGTACCCCTTCCCGGAATGTCCCTTTATTACTGCACCATTGTTTGTTTTATTACAAACATTTGCTTCCTTTGGTAGCTAGCTGTATCCTCTGTTACATGACAGACATGCTAGTGTACATCATGTAATAGGCAAATGTGTACTGACTAAATGCTGATTGAGTGAAGAAGAACAAACAACTGGCTAGATGGCTACAAAGGGAGGAATGTGAACCAAACAGATTTAAAGAAGCCTTGTGGATCATCACCATCGCCATCCAAGCTAGGAAGTCTCTCAGCAAACAGAAATGCGTCAACTCATGTGATAAGTATTTACAGAATGCCTGACTAACCTACATGCTATGTTCTGCGTGGATCCACAGATTATAAAGCATGCACTTTGCTGCTGTATATTTCAATTTTTTTAAATCTGTCTACTCACTACTAGGTCCTATTAATAAAATATTCTAGAAGAGTTTTAGGGTATATTAAAATGTACAAAATAATTTGGTTAAGTTTCCATCTTTCAAAGAATGGTTAAACTATGTTCATGATTTGAATTATGTATAATTCAGTTAAAAGATATACCTAAATCTACGTTTTTGACAGCAGGAACAATGAAAGACTGTGTACAATAACGCACAAAGATGTTAAAGGTTTGAATTTGTGCTGACCATTAGAACAGAAAGAAATGGATGACCATGAGAACTGTGGTAGTCCATAATGGAGGAGAAGAACCAGAGGGGAAGACTTATAGCAGAAAACAATTACACATTGAACCCTGAAAGTTTTGTGTCCTTGAAGCTTTTACAGCCCGTTATGTAGAACCGGATCCTTTACAAAAAAGGCCAAAGAGGATACATTCATGCTAAAGTGAGGGAAGATTAGATAGAAGAGATCTTTTTTAATGGAAATTTTAAAAAATTGTATACAATTTTAAAGGTTACTTTTTCTTACAGTTATTACAAAGTATTGGCTATATTCCTTGTGTTGCACAGTACACCTTTGAGCCTATCTCACACCCAAAAGTTTGTGCCTCTCTCTCCCACTCCTGTGTTGCCACCTTCCATGGTAACCACTAGTTCGTTCTCTGTATCTGTGAGTCTTCTTCTTTTTGTTATATTCACTAGTTTGTTGTAGTTTTATTTTTTTTCCAAGAAAGCAAAGTGAGGATTTATTACGTGAAAGTATGCTCATGGTGGGAGAGCAGGCAGACTCAGGTGAGTAGCTGCCTCACTTGTATTGTTTAGATTCCACATATAAGTTTGTGCCTCCCACTCCCCACCCTTCTTGTGACCCTCCCTCACTTTCTCCACTGATAACCACTAGTGTTTGTTCTCTGTGTTTGTAAAGTCTGCTTCTTTCTTTGTATTTTGTTTGTATTTTTTTTGTATTGTATTTTTTTGGATTCCACATATTAGTGATATCATACAGTATTTGTCTTTCTCTCTCTGGCTTATTCCACTAAGCATAATGTCCTCCAAGTCCATCCATGTTGCCGCAAATGGCAAAAATTTTGTTCATTTTTATGGCTGACTGTATGTGCGTATGTACATCACATTTTTACCCATTCATCTGTTGATGAATGTTGTTGACACTTAAGTTGCTTTTATATCTTAGCAATGGTAAATAATGCTGATATGAGCATTGGGATATGTGTATTGATAGCTTTTTTAATTAGTGGGTTTTTTTCAGATATATATCCAGGAGAGGAATTTCTGGGTCATATGGTAATTCTGAATATTCACTGGAAGGACTGATGCTGAAGCTGAAGCTCCAATAGTTTGGCCACTTGATTCAAAGAACTGACTCATTGGAAAAGCCCCTGAAGCTGGGAAAGATTGAAGTTAGGAAGAAAAGGGGATGACAGAGGATGAGATGGTTGGATGGCATTACCAACTTGATGGATATGAGTTTGAGCAGGCTCTAGGAGTTGGTGATGAGCAGGGGAGCCTGGCATGCTTCAGTCCGTGGAGTGGCAAAGAGTCAGACACGACTGAGCAACTGAACTGATGGCAGTTCTGTTTTTAATCTTTTGAGAAACTTCCATACCATTTTCCACAGCAATTGCACCAAGCGATCATTTGTTTTATCAAATGACTACATGCTCCCAATACAGTCCCTCGTGGGACTACAAGAGAGAACTCTTTGTTAGTGAGAACTGTTATCTAAGGAAATTAGTAGTGTACAGGGCAAGGCATTTTTCAACTGATTGCTTCAAAAGTCATGGAAAATAGTAGTTCTTGGACTTAAGAAAGCCGTGTTAACTTCCTTATGCTGGTTCTCAGAATCCAGATTTGAAAATGCCATCTGATCAGAAGAAATAAATCAAGGTGAATGGAGAGAAGAGAAAATAGTCAAAGGCTAAACAAGAGATTTGGTGTGTAAAATAAGAGTCTCAACAGCAGCATTTATGGGCAAAAGCTGGAAAAAGAGCAGTCCTTCAGAATTTGTTTACAATTAAAGGAACAAACGACTATAACAAAGAAAAAGGCCTGTGAAAGGCCAGGCGGTTCCATGAACTGTTACATGCTCACTTAAGAGATAGTATTAGGTTGTAGGAGTGATTTGAGATCGCTTTCCTGCAGTCACCAGGGTGCTGATTTCAGAAGTTGTACAGGAGAGCCAGGGCATCATGGGAGAGGAAGTTCTCCTCGGCCATGCCTCTTTTGCTCTGGACAATCCCTCCTGGACCTGGTGAAGACATTCCGAAAGACTGCAAGCTATGGAGCGTCATCTGCAACACCCTCCTGGCTGAATCCTTTCTGAGAATAGCCAGGACACTACTCTTGAGCAATACTTGTTTGTTTACTTGTGCTAAAGAGCAGGGATGACACAAGACTGATTGGACCAACAGCCAATAGTAGCCCAGACAACAAGGAGGGTGGAATATCTCTCCCAATCAGAAAGAGAAGAGGCGGGACAGGACAGGCAGGCCTGAAGAGCTGAACTTAAAGCTCAGTGTGACTTGCCCTCCATACTGAGTGTGGCAAAATAACCCTAACGTGTTCTGTACTGCAGGTTAACGTTTTATGCCTTATTTACAGATTCGCAGAAATAGCGGTAGCATGATTTACATCATTACTTCACTAATGCTGGGACATCATATTTTAGCAGATACCTTATATCCCCCACGACTATGGTCATTTCATGTTAAGAAAAAAGGAATAGGGTGAGAGCTATTTAAAACTGACCCTGCTTGGCTTTCTAGAATGATTATGTGATAGTTTAAAAGTACCATGAGGTTTCTGGAGAAAGCACTGAATAAATTCACATGACAGATTTGTTCTTCTGTATATTATGTAGATTATTTAAAAGATGAGTCATATTTGCTATTTGTTTAAAAATAAATCTTGCTATGCTTATATTAACTTAAAATAATTCATGAGTGATATTAACTGACCACTCAGAATATCATTTACTACACTGAATGTCTATTGAACTGCAATCTGAGGGCACAGGAAATTTTTCACCTTCAAGCACATTTGTTTTCAAAATTTATGTGAAGTTACAGTTCTTCTTAGTTGATATTTGTTTGCATATAACAAATTAGTCAACTTTAAATATAATTTATTTCAATATGCTTTTCTTTCAGGCTCATGAGATAACTTTACACACCAACTGCTTTAAATGATTTTCTGAGATACCTATGGGGTTGTGTGCTTTTAAATTCAAGTAGGAATTTAAGATAAGACCATACCAATCACTGTTAATATGGACTTCAGTACTTGAAAAATCATAGAGTAATCCTGTCCCATCACTGTAATAGCCCTTGTGGTAATCCCTGGGGCAGTGAACCCAAGGCTTGAGGTAATTTGGTAAAGCTTTATGGATGCCTAAGGGACTAGAAAATATGAAACCCTTCTTACCCTCCCCCCAGTTCCATATGCCTGATATCGATTTTTTTTTCCCACTCTTCTTGCACTGGGAGCAGTTGTCCAGCAAGGGAACAAAAAGTCCATTTCTTACAAGGTAGCAATTAAGCCAAAAAAGTACTCACCAGTCAATACTCAATATCATAAAAACCCAGAAAAGAAAGCAATACACTGTCCACACTCTCATGGAGACTTCAAAACCGATCATTTTGTGTTTGGCAGAAGGTGGGTACTCTTACTGAATGCTCCCCATCCCAATCTTTGCAGAATAAATACAAAAATACTAAGAATGCTCATGGAACTTAAAACCTTCCTTTGGAAACCAGATAGAATGTTTAAGTCCTCTTTATTTTTTAATGGGATTCTATATAGTCTTGTTTTTTTAAAATTTATTTGCTAATTTTATTTGGCTATGCCAGTTCTTAGTTGTAGCGGGCAGCATCTTTGAGTCATGATCTTGCAACATTTGAACCCTTAGTTGCTGCATGTGTGATCTTGCTCCCCAGCCAGGAATAGAACCCAGGCCTCCTGTATTGGGAGCATGGAGTCTTAGCCACTGGACCACCAAGGAAGTCCCTAAGTCCTCTTTATTAACTGTACCTTATCAGAGATTTTTCAAGGTAAAGAATTCTGACAGAAAGGGGCGGGGGGAACCTGGGAAAGTGACATATGCACAATACAGTGTTCTTTTGTGAACAGTGACACAGTACAGAGCCACAACTAACATCGTTGTTCTGGCAGTGGGGGGTAATTATACAACAGACTTGGCTTCTCTGTAAAGGAAGAAATTCCAGCTGCACTGGAACCTTTTTGAGAGCTATGTTTTAGTAGGTTCTGTAAGTTTGTATAATAAATGTTCATTAGTACAATCCAATTACTTTATCCAACAGACATTATAAGAAAGGCTTTTTCCAAACTCAAAAAAGGGGAGAAGTCCAAGATATTAAAAAGGTATTAAAAATATTAAAAAGCAAAAACAGTCAAAGAATCAAGTACTGTTCATTCACATACCTGTTTATTAGATGTTTGAACTGGGCAATATCTGACTTGCTCACTAAACGCTTCATAGAGATCTATATTCTACCAGGTCACTTTCATCTGCTCCTCAGAAAACACCTGGAGTTCTAAAATATAGTACAAATGAGTCTGAGACTGAAAAAATGGTTAGGTATTCAAGGTAGTTGCGCTAGTTAGTCACTGAAAGACTGTGAGGACTGAATATGGGTAAGGCTCGCTATTTGAGAGAAGAGCAGAGATCAGTGAAAGGTAGTGAACTCTGCCAGGTGCGGACACGCCGGCGCCCTGCCAGCGCAGGTGATGCCCAGGGCCCCCTCCACTCCAGAAGTCACCTAAGGCCGGATGTCAAGCCCAGGGCACGGACTTTCTCCAAAGCCAGACTCGACTGACCATAACTTGAAATAACGCAGTTTTGGCTCTTTTCCCAGTTGGGACAATGTGTGCTGGAAGTTACCAGTTGACAGTTTCCTTAGAAAAGAAAACTGAGATGTCCTTGACGTGGAATGCCAACAGAAACAAAGACACAAAAACCCGCCGACGGAAAAGAACCAGCAGCTTCCAGCTGTGAGCTCTCAGGAGGCAGGGGCACAACAGGCCTTTATTTTCCTGTGGAAACATCGCTGGCCACCGTAACTGGCACAGGGTACAGGAGCGAGGCCGCGCCCCTGCAGCTCAGCCAGGGAAACAGCACTGCGCGCGTCCGCCGGGCACAGGCCCGCGGGGGACGGCCAAGTTCCGGGCTCGCGCTCCCCCGGCCCGTGGCCGGTCGCCGCGCGCCCATTCGCTCCCGCGAGCCCTGGCCTGGCCAGTTGCGCATGTGCGCGGCGCGCTCCTCACCACCCACGCGCTTCGAGCCCGCCCCGGCCGCTGCGCGCGGCCCGCTTCCGCCACGCCCGCCATGGCGGCCACTGCGGCCCGCCCCTGGCCCCGCCTCCCAGGACGCCGCGCAGGTCACCTGACGCGGCTGCGGGCTGAGGAGACACAAGAGAAGTCGCTGTCGCCACCGTCGGAGCTGTTGCCGTCTCCGCCGCCGCCTGGACCCTCCAACTCGCCGCCCCCACCCAGCCTGCAGCGCTATGCCGTCCGAGAAAACCTTCAAACAGCGCCGAACCTTCGGTGGGTGCCGCGGGCCGGACGCTGTCTGAGGGCCGGCGGGGGCTCAGGGGCCGAGGCAGCGGGGCCGAGCCGGGCTGACTGGCTCCGGAGAGGGCGGGTGGGCGGAGGGCTACGGGGTTGAGGGGCCGAGGCGAGCTGAGGTGGGGGCTGCGGGAAGGCCGGGCCCGGGCGGGCGAGGGAGTCGAGGCAGGGAGCTTGTCGGGCCAAGGGCCGCCGGGCCCGGGGGCCTGAGGGGCCGAGGGGCCGAGGGCGCGCTGGCTGGGAGCTGCTGAATCACCTTTCGGCCCGGGCGGCCGTCGGGCTGTGAGCTCGGGGCCGTCAGCGCCCAGCCCCGGGGTGTTCGGGCCCTCCGACGAGACGGGCGCGAGCGTGCTGTCCTTGTGGGGGAGTCTGGCCCGGGGCCGGGCCGGGTTCTCAGAGGTGGTGGCACCGCGGGTGCAAGTCTAGATCACACATGGTCCCTTCAGATGTCAGGACCTCCACGGAGAGGGGTCCTCACGCCCGCCCCTTCCCCTGCAGCCCTGCATGGCTGCGACGTCTTGGTCCTATTTGTGGTACAAGCGCGAGGGTGGGTGGCTCTTCTCACTGGCTAGCGACAGCATTCTTTGACACCAGCGGTAAATCCGTTCTCTCCCAGTTCGGGCTGGAGTCCCTGCTTAGCATGCTGGTGTTTGGTGGAAACCGAAAGTAACACCATCACAATACTTACTCCTGCACAAAACCGATGGGAAGGAGGTGATTGGTGCTCCTTTTAAAGCAAGACAGTGCTGCAATAACAGCGTGGCCTCCTTGTAGGGCTTGTTTGTTTATCTCAGGCCAGGTGGAGTAGGGCGGGACCAGCGTTCCTTCCTGTCCTAATCTTCTTTAGGATCTTGATCAGTATCTTATGCTGTCTACTTTGGTCTAATTTCCCGGAGTCTGGGAAAGAGGCGAGCATTCATTTGAACCTGGATATGGTTTTGTAGATCTCATTATCGGTAATTATTTCCTGTGCCTGAGAAACTCCAAAAAATGAAATTCATGTTGATCTGAAGAGCATATCTTTTTCAGCCTTTTGAAGCAGTTGGCTGGTTTGCAAGACTTTAGAGGTGTCTTTTTTCTTTTCTTTTTTTAAAGAAATTTTGTATATAGTAACCTTTGTGAACTAAGATATTCGTGCATATTAGTTTTTGTGCAGCCCTGGGAGAGCAGTATTTGGAGCAGATTGGCCATTGTACCTGGCTACTCTCCTTACTGGCATTAAAAGTTAACTGGGGACGTTTGTATGGGAAAGATGCCCATTTTCTCAGGACCCAATACTATAGTTAACCTTCCTTTTGCTTAGAGTACTTTTAGGTTTTCTAGGAAAATCCCTGAATGTAAAATAATTAGCCTCCAACTAATAAAAATAAATGGGAAATATATATATATCTTCTTCAGATCTCTGACACTGCCCTTGTGATTTCTCTTCTTGAATTAATGCTATGGTCCTCAATCTCATTCTTTCTAATCCATCTAATTATGAAATTCTTTGGGATCAGACTCTTAAGTATTTCTCACTGTCTTTACAAATAATTTAAAAGCACTTAGTGCTGCATACATAGAAACTTATTTCCTATCATTAAAAAAAAGAAAGAAAGAAAAATCCCTGAAGAAGAGTAGGTAGTAAGAGTAGGATAAGTGAGGAATAATAAGAAAAAGTGAAAATAAATGACAATAAAATAATGAATTAGAAGGAATTCACCTGGTGCCTGTGGCCCTGAGGGCAAACTAGCAGGAATGCCTTAGTTTTTCTCCCATTTGTGTATGTTGCATATTTGTAGGCTTTCCTCTTTGTTCACCTTTATTTACTACCACTCCTTTTTTTTCTCCCTTGTTTCCTGACTCCTGATTCTTTTTTTTTTGTACTTTTATTGAGAAATGACATTCATTATTGTGTAAATTTAAGGTATTCAGCGTGATGACTTGGTTTACATATCTTGTGCAATGACAACTACGGTAGGTTCAGCTAACATCAATAAAAAAGGTAAATTTTCTCCTTGTTATAAGAATTAGTATTACTCTCTCCTCATTTTTTTTAAAAAAGGGCTTAATAGTCATTTTGCAGGAGAATATATCATTTAATGGCTACTGCCTTTCCTTGCTATTGATCATGATAATCTGCACTGATAATCTTTTTGTAGCACAGTAAATGAGGCAAAATCTGTTCTTTGGAGATGCCATTTTTGTGGAACCTAAGACCAGCCCCAGGTAGCTTGAGCAATAAGTACTCTTCCCAAGTGAGTGAGTTTGGGTTAATTAAAAATTGAGTATAGCTCTGATATGATATAGTCTACAAGGGTTGATAGAATCTTAGAGCTCACCCAAAACAACCACTTCCATTTGTAGCCAAGGAAACTGGGTGGGGCCCTGAGAGGTGGAGATCATGGTCCACCTAGTGGCAAAGTCTGGACTTGCCCTTCAACCCTTCTGGTAAGAATTCTTCCCATCCTCCAGGAGGTAGCCAGGACATGAAGTGGACTAGCACTGAGTCAAGAGGCAGTGGTGTGTTCTTTAAAATATTTTGAACAATTTTGTGAACTTTAAATTTATACTTGAGCAAATATTTTTGGATTCAGTATTCTCAAATGTCATAATTTCACTCCATTTTCTTCTAGGGTTTCCCTAGTTTAATAACAGATCTGTCTCCTAGACATAATCTGCTGAGATTCAATGTTAAACCTAGATCTTAAGCTTCACCATCAATAATCAAATGGGTCTTCGTTGTCTCAGAAGTTGATGTGGTAGTCTAGAATAAATAACTCCAATTACTCTAACAGGTAGACTGAAGAGTGAGGTTTATACCAACACCTAGATAACACTCCCTGAGCTTAAGCTTTGTCACTCCTTGATGGGTGGGGTTTTACATTGTTTATTTATAGGCATATTGAGGGAAATATTATGCTTCTGTTTCATCTTTGTACAAGACTGAGCCCTGGAGGAATACAGAAGTGACTGAAGCCAGGGGCAGTCTGTTGAGAAAGGCAAATGATAAACAGATCATAACAGCACTAAGAAAGTAACTGAGTGAAAGACTTTTATGCCGTTGAACAGTGGTGTTGGTAATAATGCTTTTGTTAAATATACTGCTGGCCTCTGAAAACAGCCTTCTACTCAAAGAGGCTTCGGCATATACCATCTTTATATTTAGTTACTCCAGGCTTACCACTGGATTTTCATTGCAGCTGGCTGGGACGCTAAAGATATTCCTCTAGGACTTTGGTACTACTCTTGTCATCTTAAGGAAGTCACTTGTCTTCCTCAGTTGTCCCACCTTTAATGAAAATGATCATTTTTGCCTTCCTTTCTGGACCATATTTTGGGGATGAATCAAAATAAAGCTTTTGACACTATAGTTTGAAGCCCCACATTTAGAGCCTATTTTGCTTTTCTGTTCTCCACTTAACCATAGTAAACCTTTTCTCCTTATATAAAAAATCTCTCATCTTTAAGCCTGAGTGATTCCTTTTTAGTTCAGTTCAGTCGTGTCTGACTCTTTGCAAACCCATGAACTGTAGCACACCAGGCTTCCCTGTCCATCACCAACTCTCGAAGCTTGTTCAAACTCATGTCCGAGTTGGTGATGCCATGTGATTCCTTTTACCTTAAATTTATTTGGATAACCTTTTAAATGTGAAATATTTCAGGGTATGTTAAACTTATTATATATTGGCTGCAGTGATTTAAATAAATTATGGTTTCCCTTTGCTTGTGAAATCTGCTCTGACAAGATGGAGATTTTTGTTATGAAGAGGGCTGGTAGTGGAGTATAGGTGGTTCAGCATCTTTTCTGGGATAGGACAGATATAAGGACAGAGCTGAGAGAAGTGATACAGTATCAGTGACACCCCAGAAATAGGAGTTCAAAGGATGATGTAAAGAAAAACTCCCCCTTAGTGTCTCTTCTACTTGACAGAGCTGTCCTGAACACTGTGGCTCACTTTTTATTTTTTTTTATGACTCACTTCTGACACCAGACATAAGTATTTTTCCACACACATCAAGCAGTTCAGCTCATTGTCCTATGTTTAACTCAGTTCTGACACTATCTGGTGATAGCCTTAGATCCAACAAGTTAAGGGCTCCATCCTGCCTGACCCCTCCCCCCACCAAAGGCTAATTGCAAGTGCTCTGATTAGTTATATAAATCAGTTTTCCAAGACCACTTTGTGTTTGACTAAATTACTAGAGTGGCTCACAGTACTTTTAATTACTAGATTATCAGATTATCATTAGGTTGGTACAAAAGTAATTGCAGGTTTGGACCCTGAATTTTAAATCATTATAGCTTGGCTTAAACACATCCTTACTAATCAAAATAGGAGGCATTACAATCAATGCATTTTTGCCAACAAGAAATAAGTTTATTCCTGTAGCATAAAAATCCATGCTTCAGGATTCTGGGAACTCTTGGAAAACATTTTCTGCCTGCTGCTGGTTGTGGAAATGTTTTCCCTCCAAAAAGTTGTCAAGATGCTTGAAGAAGTGGTAGTTGGTTGGCGAGAGGTCAGGTGAATATGGCGGATGAGGCAAAACTTCATAGCCCAATTCGTTCAACTTTTGAAGTGTGGGTTGTGCAACTTGCGGTTGGGTGTTGTCATAGAGAATTGGGCCCATTCTGTTGACCAATGCCTGCAGCAGGCATTGCAGTTTCCGGTGCATTTCATCAATTTGCTGAGCATACTTTTCAGATGTAATGATTTCACTGGGATTCAGAACACTAGTGGATCAGACGGGCAGCAGGCCATCAAAGTGACTATGACCTTTTTGGGGTACAAGTTTGGCTTTGGGAAGTGCTTTGGAGCTTCTTCCCCCTGGAGAAGGA